TAAGTTTCGTACAGCGAAAAAAAGGTTTCGTAAGAAAATACGAAACCTTCATAGTTTCCTAGTAAACCTTGTGGTTTCGTATAAAACTATAGTGCGAAACCTAGGGTTTACTAGGAAACTATGACGGTTTCGTATTTTCTTACGAAACCTTTTTTTCGCTGTACGAAACTTAAATAGGTTTCGTAGGAGATGGTTCGGGCGGTGTTCCCGCGTCCCGATCCTTGAAAGGTTTCGTAGATTTTAGGAACCATTTTTTTAAGCATTTGGACGCATTTGGAAGCTTTTAGACACCTACGAAACCTTTTTGGAGGGTTCGGTAAAAACCTTTTTTTTTACAGTGCACCAACACCCTGAATATAGACAATTTTTCATGTAAGGCATGTCGTATAATTCTTAGGCTTCTTGGGGCTGTATATGATCTTGTGAGAAGTCATTGTCTTTTTCTCGTAATGGTTTGTGCTAAAATTTACATCGATAAGACATCGTTCTGCATCATTTGCTTATATTTATCTTGTACGATTTCTTTTTCGTCGAATTGAATAACATGATCAGCGAGTGCTTGTGTTGTTTCATGTCCTTTGCCAGCAATTATTATCAAATCGTTTTTACCTTTAGCTAAATCCATAGCTAAACATATCGCCTTTTTTCGATCTAATTCAACGTATAATCGATTTTGGTCTGGTTTTTGTTGAATTTCAGATAAAATTTCATCAATTATTCTGTGTGGATGCTCTTGTCGAGGATTTCCTGATGTTACTATTATTATATCAGCATATTCATCGGCGATGCGCCCCATTAATGGTCGTTTCAATCGATCTCCTCTTCCGTTACAGCCAAAGACAATAATCAATCGACCATTTTCATCCGATTCTAACAATATTTGTCGTCCGCACTTGATTACTTTTTCTAAAGCATCAGGGGTATGTGCATAATCAACTACAACTGAGAAGGGTCTATGACGTATAAGAAATTCGAATCGAGCTTTAGCACAATGGAAACTTTCTAATGATTGAATAATTTGATCTAATGTTAACAAATGGGAATAAGTAGTAAGACAAGTAGCTATACAAGCTAGAGAATTGTAAACATTGAATTCGCCATGTATAGTTAAATGAACACATTGTGTTTCTCCTGATGGTAGTAAAATTGTATAATTTGTACCATTTATAGAAGTTTTAATATTATAGGCTACAAATGAATTTTGATTTTTGTTTGTTAGACCATATGTATATACCTGAGCATTTGATGGGCATGCATTAATAAATTGTTCATATGATGGATCATCATGATTGATGATAGCTTTTGGTGATAAAGATCTTGATAAATATTTTGAAAATAATAATAACTTTACTTGTAGATAATTGTCCATCGTTTTATGAAAACTAAGATGATCTTGTGTAAAATTTGTAAGAATGGCAACACTAAATTCACATCCATAAACGCGTTCTACTGCCAATCCATAAGAACTAACTTCCATGACAACATTTTCTATATGATATTTATTTTTCATTTCGTTCAATATTGTTTGTAATAGCCATGCATATGGTGTTGTACAATCTGTCTTCATATATTCATTTGTGTTTCTTTCATGATCGTGACATCTATAACCAAGCGAGCCTATCAGACCGACTGTCACTTTAGCATCTGATAAAACTTTTTCAATCATATGTGTTACAGTTGTTTTACCATTTGTACCAGTTACACCAATCATTTGGTGAAAAGAATGTTGAGGATAATTATAATAATGCATACACAGTTGAGCAAATATTCTATTTGTTGTTGTTGTTTTGGAAACACAAAATACAGGAAACGATGCTGATTCTAGCAAACATAATAGTTGACAGTCATTGACAAATATGGCTGATAATGATATGCTCAGTAAAGTATTTATACTAGAATGATCTAGTATTATTTCAGTCCCATCGCCTATATCAACAGTTGGCATAACAAAAATGAAACCATCAGCATTGAGGTTTTTTGTTTCCATTAAATATTTCAGCGATTGTGTAATGTTACTGATAGAATGTTCATAATGTGTTTCTAATGTATGTGGATTAATGCATATACAATCGTCAATACCATCAAGTAGTTGTTTTAATTTCATCGTAACTGACAATGAACGGCTGTGAAAATGCTACTTCACCTTTTTTCTATATACTAAAATATATTAGAATAGAGTCTTGAAGTCTATAATAGTAGAATGATCACAAACAGTTGTTTCTCGATTTAGGACGAATCTAGTCATAAAGATGCCTCTATCATCAGTACGATGAGTTTGAAAATGTGGCATATTATGTTCCAGTGAATAATCGAAAGAAAATTAGGATAAACCTTCCGAATTTATATGTCCAACATAGAAGAACTATATTAATCGATAATGGGATTCTTTGTCAATCATATTTAGCCCCCAACACAGTTACAAGAATACAATGGTCAAACCTCAACTATTATAAATCTCAGGAAAATTTTGAAAAAAAATAAGATCGATGTTCCAAACCTTTCCAAGTAGAATTGAATTCGAAGGTAAAAGAACTTTCTGAGCAGCATTTATTGTGTGAATCGTGAAGCGCTCTATAATAAATGTTAGTGTGCAAATACTTCCTCGACACGGATCCCAATATGTAAAAAGTCTGAAGCAGGATGAACTTGAACTATCCAGCAGGTCATATCAGAGAAAATCATAGTATGCAAATTCTCTAAAGAATTGTATCCTTTAATGACATATTTTTAAACATGCAGTCAATTGAAATTTTTAATCTTCGTTACATGTGACTCTTATAAGAGTCACAGCTTACTAAATAATAATGCGTAATGAAAGTGGAGCGAGACGAAAAGCTTGTTAGCGCAGCCCCATGGGGCTGAAACTTGGAACTCACATGTCTTCATAATGTCCGTTATTTTTTAAGTTTCTAACTTGATCTATTTTGTCAAAGAAAAAATTTCAAAGCATCATCCCTATTTTCTTCCTACGCTAAAGTCTGTAATGGAAGACTATCCGTAATGAAGAGCTCTGGTCGCTATGGTCTGTAAATATGGACCTGTCTGTAATGGAGGTGTCCGTGATGGAGGAATGAGGGAGGGAGGGAGGGGTGGGGAGGACACAAAGACTTCGGCTTACAACTTACACTCATTATTTTCTTCGAAAATATATGTGAGTTCCACAAAACCACTTGTAGGATTTATGCATATCAGTTCAACTTCAAAAATCGATTTGGAACGATTTTTGAACCTGAAAAAACTAATATGAAGTAGAATTTTTCTGGCTTTATCTCCTAAGAAAATTTGATAAAAACATTTTGTGCGATTTTGGTGATTTTGATGTATATTTCCCATATCATTATATCTTGATTAATGAAATTTATTGCATAGTAACATTTGATATCAAAGTTACGGTGCAGAATGAAACTCACTTTGAATGCGATGATCTCATGATGATCGCTAATCTGCAGTCAACTTCTCAATATTCTAGTTGTACTTTATAAGAAGTATTAGAATCATTGGCGACGATCACTAATACGCTTAGTGCCACTGCGTTGTATATCTAATAATACCATTGAGGCTACGTCAAAGAATAATTTCTTTTTCTAAGACTTACAAAATTTATCAGGGTTCATCTTGACTCACTCATGCTGCTGCAAAAGCAGTATGAAATATACATCATACAATAAAAAAATGGTCACAAACCCTTGAATAGAAACTTTCATCTCTGTATATTTGACCCATCAGAAGTTGTAAGAATGATATCCGCCACGTCTAACTTACGTCAAATGCCTGGCAATCTTACTTTATCGATAAGTGGGAAGTACTTTGAGATTTTTTTTGCAAATCTTGATCGAACAGAAAAACCGAGTATGTCAGTAGGTATTTACGTAGTTCTAAATTTAAGTCATTACCATAAATTGTTGCTGCTGAAAAACGAAAAAAGATGCTTCGTTTTGTGTACTCAATAAGTGAGTACACTCTGGATTCGGTCAGTGTGTCCGTCCAGCCGTTTACACGATAACTTTTGAAAGGAGAGCCCGATTGCGATGAAATTTTCTACACAGTTCAGCCTTAACAATATCTCGGTCGAGTTCGAAGATGAGCATGATTGGCTGAACCATTTCTGAGTTATTGCAAAATTGTCATTTTTCCCTATGACTTCCTATAGGAAAATCGACCTATTCCCACTTTCGTAAAAAACTTTTCCTATCATAGTCAAAATAAAGCCCCAACTATTACATACCATTCGATAGAGAATTTCACGAGCTACAAAATGGTATATAAAGCATTAAAAATTTGAGCTCAAACTTTTGGGCCAAGGAAAGGGTTTTTTGAGAAAACAGCGATATTTTATAAAGGTTGGCAAAAGCAAATCGGAGTCGAGGAATCTAAATTTGAAGTCAGATTTTGAAAATTTTGAACTCCCTTTTTTGGGCCAAGGAAAGGGTTTTTTAAGAAAATAACGATATTTTATAAAGGTTGGCGAAAGCAAATTGGGATCGAGGAATCTGAATCTGAACTCCGATTTTGAAAATTCTGAATAAATTCTTTTTGGATTAAGGAATCACTTTTTCACTTTTTGAAGTACACATAACACTCTGCTTTAAATCCGAGACTTCCGCATTTATTATTTTCTATGCGAACGAGAAATTCCTTTTTCCTTATTTCATCTTTTTATCAATTAATATGTTTTTGTAAAAAAAAATAAAATATACCACAAGATGCAGCGTGAAAAGCTCTACAATTTACGCAGAACAGTTTATCGAAATAAGAAGAAAGGAATTTCTCATTGGTGTAGAAAAATGATCCTTTTGCAGCGTCGAATATTGGTCGCACCGAATTTTGCGTTTTTGGAAAACGAAAAGTACATAATTGAAATAAGCTTTACTTTGTATATTATAGAGCTTTTCACGCTGCATCTTGTGGTACATTTTATTATTTTTTTTACAAAAGCAGATTAGGTGATAAAAAGATGAGATCAGAAAAAACGATTTTTTCACAGCGTCGAAAATTGGTCGCACACAATTTTGCTTTTTTTGAAAACAAAAAGTACAAAATTAAAATAAGCTTTACTTTGTAAATTGTAGTTCTTTTCACGCTGCATCTCCTGGTATATTTTGTTTTTTTAAAACAACGTATTAAATGATGCAAAAATGAAATGGAAAAAGGAACTTTTTTTGTCCGAGGGAGAGTGCAGTACCTTGTCGAACATTCTTGAAGCAAGCAAAAATGTAAAGCGATTTTACTCAGCCTATGCACATGCGATATAATTAGTATTTCTCCTATATTCATGAGGGAATTACGCCGACTTTTAAAAAGAAAAATCTGAAGAACTAAAAGTTTCGATCCAATGACATATAACGATGGAATTTTGCTTCTGACAATAAATATAATGAGTCAGGATTTCAAGAATATGAATTCTATTGAAAATGCTCAAAACTCTCGTACACCTTCTCTGAAATCAATTCGTGTACCCAGGTCAAAAATTAAGAACTGACTCCGCTCAGAAAACATCGAAAATCTCCGAATCATGCAAGTAGTATTCCGGCCGGAAAATTTTTGGATTTTTTCCAGTGACTTCCGGTCGTTTTTGATGAAAACAATGTGAAGTTGGCTGGAAGCCACCGAAAAAATCCGAAAATTTTCCAACCGGAATACTGCTTCCATGTTCTGGAGATTTTCGATGTTTTTCTGCTGGATACGATGGTTTTTCCCGCATCTTTCCTGCCAGTTTCAGCGAAATTCGACTATTTTCGGCGACCGGGAATCATTGAGCTGGGTAGTCGGCATTGCTTACGTGGCAATACTAAATGGATTCTGCGCATTTTCTCGCAATTAAATATTACTGTTGTGTATTCATCCGAATACGTGAATCAACTGCGATTTATCGAAATATGTTAATTCACTGCGCATACAATTTTGACAAGGTAGCGCATTTTTTTTTATACAAATGTAATCGCAGATTTGCTCGTTGTGCCGTACAACCTTGACACGGCATGTTATACAGCGATAGTGAATCAAGAGATCGAAAAAATGCAATGTACGAAGGACACACTCATGCATCGAACTTATACCAACGAAGTAATTAATATTACAGAATAAATGGCAAACATTTGCCACACCACATCATTCTTCTAAATCAGAATCGTATTTGAATAACATTTTCAAGGATGTGGATGTCTGTATAGGTGGGCTTGTAGTTCATGATATGGGTGAGTTTATGATCCCGTGGGGGAACGTCTGAGTGGATTTCAATGTCGGATTCATCGTGAGTACGGGGAGTGTGAGTGTCTATAAGTGTTAATGCAGGTGTTGTTATCATTGATACGAGTATATTACTGTATTTGTGATAATGGTTGTTCGTTCTTCTTATGTCCCTCAATCATCCCTAGTTTGGTTACAATCCAACTTGTAATTTGTTGCAAAAAAATCACCTAGTATGTCTTTAGCACGAGAACTTTGCAATATATTTGACATCATTTAAAACGTTAATTTTTCTATTGAAGCAGCAATCATATTGGATTGCTGTTCACAGTGTATAACGAACAGTTTTAGCTGCTTCTCTATGACTACAGTTGCAACTCGATGCGAGTTCGTATCTTCAACTTTAAATATATCGTACGAGAACAAAACGTATGCAATGAAATTTTTTTTTGACTAATTCATTCATTGATATTATACCAGGTTTATATTTTCAACTATAGCAATAAGATATTCAGGTGAAGCTAGCACCGTATTCGACAAAATCCTGTCCATATTCGTTTGAGAGCTTGTTCCAACTGAACAACTCATGTTCAAAGTACAACTCGACGAGCTCTATCGAATGGTATAGGTGGAATTTCCATATCTCAAACCATATTCAAGATAATTGTGAAATACAGAAAAAAAGTCGATGGGAACTCTGGAACCCTGATAGTAAATCCTGTCCATATTCGTTTGAGAACATGTTTCAAGTGTTACATTCGTGTTCCAAGTACAACTCGTTTAGGTCTGACGAAGGGTATCATGAGACCGGCTATGTCTCAAAGCATTTCTGAGAAAAGTCTTTAAAAAGCTTGTTAGCGCAGTCCCTTTGGGGCTGAAATGTGGAACTCACATATCTCCTTTGGTTTCATTATACTAATGGCACAATACCCAATATTTAAAATCTCCAAAAGATAACAGTACTTTTCTAAAGATAATCGATTATTAGAAAATGTTAAGCTTTTATCTCTAAATTTCGAAACAGAAATTTTTATTTTCACGAAGTTGCCAAGGCCTATAATGAGGCAGGGCGGCGTATATATCTGTAAGGATGGGTGTATGTAATGTTCTCTTTCGTTGCTATGGTTTGTAAGGAGGGGGGAGCCGCGAAACCTCGAACTTAAAACTTACACTCACTATTTTCTTCGAAAATATATGTGAGTTCCACAAAATCGTCATCCCTGTATCCTCACGATATTTTAACTCTGGATCGGGTGACAAACCTTTTCCAAATGTCTCATTTTTCGGAAACGACGATTTCATGTGCATTATTGAATCGAGCCATCGGCAGTTTTTCTTAACTACTATTCTTGGGAAAATACGTAGATATCCCATCTATCAAGGCCTCCTCAGCGTATTCACACCTTCCATGCCCTAGATGACATATCTGACGCGCGTCTATTCTTGTTTCCAATAGAGCTCCTCAAGTCTATCCTAGCATATCCTCCACATTGGCTCATCAGTAACGAACATTTCTCCGACCATAGAAAGCGCTGTATGAAAACTAAAAACCAGGCTGAGTGATGTAGGATATCTTAGGTCCCGATTCGAGATTTTCATGGCCGATTCACTCAGGTGAATGTTCCAAAACCATTATATTATGTTTCATGTACAACTCGACGAGCTGCATCGAATGACGAAAACCGCCACTCGATATGTATCATGGTTACGGAGAAAATCCAAAATTACCATCAATTCTTCCGTTCCACGAAATACAACAAAATGTAATTTTTTGGTTGATGCGCCTCACAGAATGTTTCAACAAAACAACAGATGTTCCTAGTGCAACTCGGTGAGCTCTATCAAACCGTGAAAACCGCATCTCGATACCACTCTCCATTGATGAGTTATCATGTCCAGACTTCAGTGCCGCAACAAGTCGCGACATCTATAATCCACACCATAAGTATTTCCTTGGCCGCTACGCTATAAAGGACGTTCCAAGGACGAAATGGTGGGTGTGGGCGTGGCATGTGGCTGTGGCTGTGGATGGAAGTCTTTTCTTCAACCACACCCACACCCACATATATACCCAGGTCGAATTTACCCCATCGGATCCGATGGGAATTCGTCGGAAGTTGTCGGAATCCTTGGTATCGGATTCCGACAGCCCAGGTCAAGCTCGGTACGTCGGAACCGACCAAAAACCAACGGAATCTATAGGATCTGCTGCCGGAAAACAAAGAAAACAATCGGTTCCGGCGATCGGAACAGTGGACCCGGGAGGAAGTTATCGGATGTCGGAAAGTGTCGGAATAACCAAGATTCCTGTTGGAATTCCGAAATTCCGATACTTTCCGACGAGATCCAACTGTCGGATTGTTCGTACTGGGTAATTATAGAATTCTATAGTCACCTTAAGCCCCGCGTCCCATACATACCTTTACGATCTTAGAGCTCCTTAGCTCCTTTCTGTTTAAAAGTGAATGTTTGTTTTCATTGAAATTTAGATTGAAATCTAATAGTTCAAAGTATGATATTGAGAGAGCCTTTTGAACTTCCCTATCGTTTTTGAGTTCGAACTCTGCGCATAATGTAGACTTCATTGAGATATGGAAAGTCCCAAAATGATATGTACCCTTAGATCTTCTGTCAAAACTTACGAGCATTTTACTGCAATTTCAGCATACTGCACGGCATATACCATGTAAATCGAGCCATGTTTTCTTATCTGAAATTATATTCACGAACAGATTTATTTGCGAGTAAAATGTCCTCAAAATTTCAGCTAAAAACATAATTTCCTTCTTCAGATATTCAAGTGCCAAAGAACAAAAAAGTATAGCATCTTCCATGGGATACGAGTGATTTTTGGTACTTGAATATCTGGAGAAAGAAATTGTTTTTATAACTGTAATTTTGAGGACATTTTACTCACAAATAGACCTATTTGTGGGTATAATCCAAGGGGGAAACAGCGGACTTGAAGTACAAAAGTACCTGAAAATACAAAAGTAACTTTAAGTTACTTCAAGTAGGCACAAGTAGCTCCAAGTACATTAAAAGTATGGCAAAGTAACTTCAAGTACCTTTAAAATACAATCAAGTACCTTTAAAGTACTATCAAGTACCTTCAAAAGTATCGCCAAGTACTTTCAAATACCTCAAAAGTCTCTTAAAGTAGTGTCAAGTACCGATAAGTATATCAGAATAGGCGAATAGTTTTTCAAAAGCTAAAAGCTTATCAAATGAAAACCAATTAAGATGAAAAAATACGAAAAAGTTGATTTATTTATTTGTTAAGCATAGAAAAAGTATCAAAAAAAGAACACAAAAAGCAAGAATTTTATGAACTAATATTAATTGTTTGTTGCATGACCCGAGATAAACGATCACTTGATAATCTTGTTATTGTGTTGGATAATAGCCAGCAAGCTGATTGTTTGTGAAGATATTTAATTTTATCATTTATATTGATCTTAAAATACGAGTGTTTCAGCATAGGATTAATACTATCAACAATTTTTATTCCATCAAAATTTAATCTTGTTGAATTTAGTATCCCTTCTTCATCGTTGTAATCATCGTTTCCAAAATTTAATAACTCATCATAAAGTTCATCTTCTCCATCACTATTCACATTCTCATCTTTATCATCTCCATCGTCATCTGATTCTAATTCTTCAGTGTCGCCAATTGTTGTTCGTGACGAATAGCCAAACATTTTTGAACTCTTCCTTAAGCTGTCGAATACAAATTCACTTAAGATTTTTAAATTAATTATATTGTTTTGTTTTAATGCTTGTAACATTTTTGAATGATGTACGATATTAATTGCCTAATTGTATGCGTCTAATATAATTTGTTCGAGATCCAATGTATTTATTTCATCTAAACGATCTATAGAGATTAATGAATCATCATGGTTGTGCTTGTGGTGTATTGGAAAAGACAAATCGGTTTTCGATTGATTATGTTTAATTTGATTTAATATCAATAATTTTTGTTCACGTCGAATAAAATTACTAACAGTAAAGCTAACTGTGGTGGAGAAAGAACCACTTAACGATCGTGCATCTCTAAAGTGGATTCACAAAGTTGAGAATTAAACAAATGTATATTAATCAGTGTTTGTTTATGCAAGTGTTGTTGTTTCATCAAAAGCAGCAAATAAAGTAGGTTGTGTGCATTCAATTTAACAGAAAAGTATGCAGGTTTTGAAATAAAGCATTTGTTTGCGTTATTTGTCCTTTCAGTTATTGCTTTATTTCTTGATGAATTGGAAAACGACTTCGTTTTTAACCACGACCACCATATGCGGCAAACGAACACGACACATCATGCTGATTGTACCCCTAGATGCATAGAAGTTTTTTGAGATTATAATCAGTTTAGATTTATAATTTTTAAAGATCGAAAATAAACTTACGTTCACGAACGGATGTTGATTTATCAATATAAGCTTTCGCTATCATTTTTAATAAAGTTTAATATACAACGGTACCATTCGTGTCCACACCACTAATCAAAAGGTTGATCACACCATCTGATATTAATTTAATGCATGGGTTGTAGTTCCAGCGATCTTTTGGGTTAGTGTCGCTGCTCATGAGACCGTGATCTAGTTTTGTATAATGACCATCACTGAAGAATGCTTCAATACGTGTTATACTGATTCTGTCGATTCCAAAACATAAATCAGTTCTTGATGACAATAATCGATTTCTCCATTTTGTTACACGATGGACTGGATCTTGAAAAAACAAGAGTAACTGGTTATTTAGAAGGAAAAACCATGTCCAATGCGTTGGTATATTAATTTTAAGTGCATGTTGATGCTTATCTAATTGTAAATCGAATAGTGATGCAAAAAAACCACTTGCAAGGCGCATAGCGCTTACATGTCTTCTGTTGAGATCTATTTACGAATGAAAGCAGCATGTTAGTAAGGATGAAAAACTTAAAATTTAGCTGTAGAAAAAACAATGACACAGACATTTTGGTCTAAACACTGTTGAAAAATATACATCCATTGATTTAATATATTTATTGTAGTAATTTTATTGTCAACACCGTACGCTGATAACAACAGTGGTCTTGAAATACGTGTTGCATTATAGGTGTGGGTGGAGGTGGGCGGCTGTGGGTGAGGCTGCAGTTGGCGAGAAGACTCACATCCACCCACGCCTACTCTACCATTTTTCTTAATTCAAGGACTATTTCTATGTTATACCGTTTTTTATCGAAAATATGAAGAATTATAATGCTAGCATTTAGAAATAATGATTAGACTTAAATTATAAAAACTTGAATTAACTCGAAGTAGGTTCAAGTAACTTCAAGTAGCTCAAAGTACTACTCAAGTAGCCTAAAGTACCACTCAAGTAGTTCAAAGTATCGTTCAAGTATCAATCAAGTAGCTCAAAGTATCATTCAAGTAGTTCAAAGTAACTTCAAGTCGAAAAGTCCGCCGTTTCCCCCTTGATATAATCTCAGATAAAAAACCGTGGTTCGATTAGCATGGTATAATACCGTGCCATAGGGTAAAATTGGAGTAAAATGCTTGTCAGTTTGGACAGGAGACATAAGGGCACATATAATTTTTGGAGTTTCCATACTCAATGAAGTCTACATTATACGCAGAGTCCGAACTCAAAAACGACTCAGCAATTCTAAAGGTTGCCTCATGAGAGTGTTTCTAACCTTTAGCAGAGGTACACTTTTCTGCAGCAAGAAATTTGGAGCTTTACAGATCTTCTAAGAAATGTTTCTCGATGCTGATGCAATTATCAACGGTTAGAGTTGCAAAAGCGTCTAATTAGAAGTTTGTACAACCGATTCAAACGAACCTAGGCCCGATAAAAGAGATGATATCAATTTACGAAAAAAAGTTGCAACAGCATTACGTTTGTGTTTTTGGTCTTTTTGTACGCAAAAGGAAATAGTTAGAAGAAAAATTTTTTACCATGGGAAAGATCATTTAGCACTCAACAAAATTTGTTCCAGGAACATTTCATTTGGACGGCAATTTGCGTAGAATTTTCGAACTTAAGTAAGTGCACTCCAAATTTAGAGTCCTTTTTATGTAACAGCGTTATGCGATGAAAAAAGTTTGTAGAAACTCGAGACTTCAATCAAAAAAACTCATTCTCATAGAATAAGTAGAGGATAAAGAGCTGCGCCGAATGACTTTTGAATCATCTTTCCAGCTCTTACAGTTTCGGAGATAATTAAAAGCAATATGGTAAAAACGTTACAGCGTTAGATTTGGGCAAGCCGTATAACGCTCGAATGCTATGAACAACAGAATGGTATATTTCCTAGTGACGGTTTGAACCATGATTTGAACACACGAGTAGTCGATTGCATGCAGAACACAAGTAGCTCTAAGCTATTTACAGTTCAAAATTATTTCTATGTTTATCAATCGAATGAATAATTCCTTTATCATTGCTTATATGTTTAAGAATTGTGACGTTCATTTATCTTTGCTTCGTAAAATAAACATAAGCAGCAGATATATATTCATAAAACAAAGATAAATATAAAGGGTGTTCCGGAAGTTCTGAAACAATTTAAAAATTCATCGTTCTCACGTTCTACAAAAGCAAATTCGTTGAAACTTTGGTAGATTGTTGTACATATATAGTACTACATAAAGGCAAAGTTTGAGGTCTATAGATTGTACTATAGATGAGAACCTGTAACAATACTATGATGTACTATTTTTTAAATTTTCCTGGTCATCTTCGGAGTGTGCAAAATTTTTTTATATTTCGTCTATATCTCAGCTTAGGTAGATGATAAAATCTTGAATTTTTCTTTAACAGGTGCGCCGTGAAAAGCTCTACAAAAACTGCAATAACAAATCCCTACTGACTTTTGTTAATGCTTTCTGCCATACTCAAAATGAAAAACCTATATGATAGTACTACTTCTCACCACATCGTGCATAATAAAAAATGTTTGGAAGACCTTTTTGTTCTGCATGTATCTCAGCTTGAGAAAATGATAAAATCTTGATTTTTTTCAAAAGATGCGCCGTCGAAAGCTCTACAAAAGCTGTATAAACAAATTCCTATTAGAAAGCAAAAAAGTCTTCCAAACCTTTTTTTTTATTACGCACAATATGGTGAGAAGTAGTACTACCATGTAGGTTTTTCATTTTGAGTATGACAGAAACCATTAACACAAGTCAATAGGGATTTGTTATTGCAATTTTTGTAGAGCTTTTGACGGTGCATCTTTTAAAGAAAAATTCAAGGTTTTATGATTTACCTAAGCCAAGATATAGACGAAATAAAAAAATGCTGCATACCTCGAAGATGACCAGGAAAATTTAAAAAATACTACATGTCAGTGTTGTTATGGTATCTCATCCATAGTACAACCTATAGATCTCAAACTTTGCATTTATGTAGTACTATATATGTACAACAATCTACCAAAGTTTCAACGAATTTGCTTTTGTAGAGTGCCAGAACGTTGAATTTTAAAATCGTTTCAGAACTTCCGGAACACCCTTTATGTATGCATGCATATAGAATAAAAGACAAAGAAATAAATTGTTATCTGATATTTATACAATAAAACAAAATTCAGAATAAAAACTTTTCCCCTATGATAGATCAATATACAAGTACGTGCTATGTCGGCGTTAACTAACCTGTATTTCTTTTCACTAGTAACAACTCAAATTTTTTGATGTTATTAAAACTGAGGGCGTTACAGTAAAAGATACATGCGAAAAACTCCATCTTTGCACTTTTTTCTACCAATAATAATCCAATTTTTTTAAACAGTTCTAGAGAATAGCATATTAGAATTTCATAAAAAATAGTCTTCTTTATTATTTAGTTTACTTTATTTTTTAACAGAAAAAGATTCATTCATTCTTTATTTATTTATTAGCATCCACGAAAAATTTGTTTACGCTCATTTTTTAAATGATTAAAGCTATCTATTTATCTTTATTTTATTGATACACAAAGTTTATTTTGATGTATTTTTTATTACAAAAAAAAACAGTAAACATAATCTGGCACCCTTATTTGAAAAGATCCTTATGTGGAAGTTAGATAAAACTAAATTGTTGAAAATAAAAATAACAAATCCATAGGGTCTATATATTAATTTGGCAAAAACATGATGAAACTTATTTAAAAAAGAAAGATCTTATTCGAGTCATGTTCGTAGCAGTAAAAGTTTTAGAAGCAAAGTAGAGCGAAACAGAGTTTTGTCAACAAATAGATATTTTTATTAAAAAGTATGTTAAAAAAAACAGTCGATTATGGCATGGATACTTATTCAGCATAATCAACCAATTAAACGAAACTCAATTCGGCTAAATCTTTTTGAAATTGATGAAACTTGAGCGCTAGAATCTGCTACGATTGCGATACAGACTAATGGCTATTTTTTTAATTTTATGTCTATCAGAATGAAGCAAACGCGTTTGATACGTAATGTCATCAAAGCGTAGCTAAGGTAGAAAATGCGTTCTCGCCCGTCTCGATATAAGTGAGTGCAGATGTGTTTGACCTTTGTAACGCGCTCATACACCCGAAAATGTTGCATTCTAGACGCGTTCAAAAGCGTTTTTCGATGTAAACTAGTTGTGATGCTAATAGAATTTGAAGAAGGGAAGACACCATTATTCATGTTAACAGCTTTCTGATCCACAAAAAAGTTGCCTTTTGAATGATTTAAAACATGTCAAGTAGCATGTCTTATGAACGCTCAACGACGCTGTTAAAGTTTAAAAACAGCTACATGGTAGTAAAGAGGATGTCATCGATTTATTGTCAATTCAATAAAAACTAGATAACGTTTCTTACGGAATTGACTACTTGGGTCTTTATCATAAGCGTAGATCGATTTGTGTGATTCTATATTACTACTAGTTATAAAAATAAGGAAACAGATAATCATCATGACCTATCCAAGACTTGAAAATACATGGTTGATATTATTCTTGAAGCATATTTGAAAGAAAATAGTTCAGAGAAATATATATTGGTTTATTGTTCTTGTCTAACTGATCTTATTATAGCAAAACTCATGTATCTACCGAATTGAATCGACAAAAGCTTTTGTTTTCAATTCCTACCTTCTACATTTAATATCATGATGTCAAATCTTTACTCGAACTGCAGCAGCATTCCAATAAAATACCTCACTACACTGTACAAAAAAATACGTAAAATAATAAACACTTAAATGGTTTGTTAAAGTACAACGGGTAATAAACCCTCTCAGTGCATCGTATATAAAATTTTCCGAAAAAATTTAAAAAAGGTTTATCGAGGGGCGTGGGTGTGGGTATGAGTGTACTTTTAACCCACAGCAACACATATCCACATCACCACCTCACTTATACCCACATGCCACACGCGCACTCACACCCACACTCACAGCTCACACCCACCCACACCCACACCCAATTTGTATTTTTCTCAACGAAAGAAAAGCATGTCTCCACTTTGATTTTAGTAAAAATATTTTTCCTTTTCTTCTGCTATGTGCTCGTTTTTTATTATTTCACTAGATGACTACACATGTAAATGATTCTACTAAATCAAGTTTACAACATTGCATTATTTGCCATCGTAGTTTAAAGGAAGGCGAGTACTGGTTCAATTGTTCAATATGTGTTGATTACAATGTTTGTGAGATGTGTAAGGTAACAACACAATCATCACATTCTCATCACATAGTTCGTAAATCAGCTGTTGATTATGGAATAGAAAAAATATGCACTCGACTAGATATGGGAAGTCGAATTCTATCAGCGATATACTTCAATATGGATCGCCCATGTCTAGGTGTACGGGAAGTCGGTGGTAAAAATTCCAATAGCTATGTAGATTCGTACATCTGGCAAACATTCAAATTGGTGGGTGAAAGAATCAAGAACTTTAGCTATGGATTACAACGTTTGATAAAACCACGTAGCTATTTGGGTATTTGTGCAGCGAATCGACCTGAATGGATAATTGCTGATTTTGCATGTATTTTACAGAATATTGTCAGCGTACCAATTTATTGCCAGTTCAACGATCGTGATTTAGCTTTTATCATTAACCATACAAATATATCGACGTTCGTTTGTGACAACGATATATTGCCAAAATTAATTCGATTGCATTCAGAATGTTCAAAACTACGACATATCATATGTATGGATCCTATCTCTGAGACAATCTATGGCAAGTATTTATTATTTGTGAATATCTCAATCAAGTTAAGTTAGAGAAGAAAGAATGCGTCAAATTGTTCTTTTCGAATTTCAAGGTGTGTCGTTTTTGTATAGAGATCATTTTTTTGAGAAATTTGTGAGAGACTGTCATTTTGTTGTGAGTATATAATGGAAAATATTCATCTTTCATAATAATATGTGATGAAAACAGGAGAGAAATCGGCAACTTATCGCAGTTCTATCGGCCAGGTTATATCCTGCCGTTATCGCGGTTAACCGATATTTCTGTACAGTTAGACGGCGTCCTGTGATTTTTTACAGTCACTAATACTTATATTGGAACTCGATGGTTATATTTTAAAAATAAAGAAAAACCAATGTAAAAAAACAACTAATTATTAAAAAACGACAAATAAGTATACATTTTAAAAAAATCTCTTCTGAACATGTCTGCTGTTGTTCATTGATGGCCATTTTCAGCTGTCTTACCTTGTTCCTATTTAACGCTATGATTTTGTGTATGGATGCTATTATAATCGAACAGATCGTCACACCCGCACTCATACCCTCTTGATAATTTCTATTTTTGAAATCTTGAACACTTTATCTTGTTTTAAATATTTACTTGAAGTTCAAATTTTAAATTTTCTGCAAATTATTTTCATGTGAATTTGGGAATATAACAGGAATATATATTTTCAACTTTTAGGAAAAAATGATCTTTCAATTCATTACATGAACGAAATTGAGAAAGATACTTCTGACAAGCAACAAGAATATGTTATCAATGATCCTGATGATTGTATCACTATTGTGTATACGAGTGGAAGTTCTGGCTTTCCTAAAGGAGCAATGATATCTGAAAATGTCTTCCGAATGACTTATCCAATACGAAGTGTATCGTCTAATGTAGAGCATGTGAAATTTTGTTATCGACCATTAGCATGGATAACTGAGCGTAAATCAGCCATTGCAGCATTTCTCGATGGTGGATGTACTGGATTCTCAACTGGAAAAATCACTCAACTTATGAAAGAACTTACTTTAGTCGCACCTACATCTTTCTCTGCGCCGCCAACATTTTGGAACAATATTTATTCTGAGTTTAATACAACTCTTTCATTAACAACTACGACAGATGAAGAAACTCTTCTAGAATATTTTTCAAAATTGATTCCTAAACGATGTAGAGTTCTCTCTATTGGTGGTGCAATGACAAGTCCATTAGTAGTCAATTTTATGCGACGATGCTTTCAACATTGTAAAGTTGTTGAAGCATATGGAACTACAGAATGTGGCAGAATAGCTTTCAATTATAAATTTCTTGAGACAGTAATTGATTATCGTCTCGAACAAGTAACAGAAATGGGTTATACACCACATGATAAACCGTTTCCACGTGGAGAACTTGTGATTAAAACAACCCAAATGTTTTCTGGATATGTAAATAATCCGGAAGAGACAAAACTAGCACTCACTGAAGACGGATTCTTTCGTACGGGAGATATTGTCGAACTACGTTGCAACGACGATGGAACATCAAATATTCATGTGATTGATCGTAAAAAAAATTTCTTCAAACTTGCTCAAGGACAATTTGTATCGCCCGAATTTCTTGAAGGTATTTATATTCAAAGTTTATTCATTGAGCAAATCTATATTTATGGCGATGGTCTCAAAAATTGCGTTCAGGCAGTTGTTGTACCTAACAAAGAACATATTGAGAACTGTTTTGCTAAAGACATTATAGAACAAATTTGTTCGAATAATCCAGACAGACGACTTTACGATGCAATTATGACGGATTTACATACAATAGCCATCAAAGAATCACTTCGAAAGCACGAAATTCCATCTAAAATAATCATTGATTTTGAACCGTTTACAACTGAAAATGGACTTCTTACAGTGTCGATGAAGCCTTGTCGGCGTAAGTTAGCTGCGTATTATGCTGACCGATTAAAAGATAACAATTCTATTGATAATCAATTGAAAATTATTGTTGAAAGAGCACTTGGAAAACAGATGCCATTCAATGAAGATGATCAATTTTTTCTGGTAACAGGTGGAGACTCATTGACAGGCTTGCGTCTATCTCATATGATACGCAATGATTTGGGAGTATCCATACCACTCAATGTTCTATATGAATCTAATATGACTTTGCAGCGACTTGTCAATATCATCAAAGATCCTTTGCAAATGTCTTGTTCTTCAGAATCAATCAAGTCACGATTATTGCACGATTCTGAGCTTGAATTGAACATAACAAATAAAAAACAGAAAAATATTAACTATTCTCCGTCGATGATTTTTATCACCGGAACAACTGGATTTGTTGGTGCTTTTCTATTAGCTGAAATGCTAAAAGTGTATCCTTCTACTTGCAAGTTTGCATGTCTTGTGAGATGTCAACCTTTCATCAATCCATTTGATCGTATTAGAGAAAGTATGATGTTTTTTCAATTATGGAATGAGAATTTTCGAGAACAAATCATTGCTCTTCGAGGTGATCTTGCCAAGGGTCATTTTGGATTCGATGATGTAACATATGAAAATCTCGCTTCTAAGATCGATATGATTGTTCATTGTGGTGCTATTGTCAACTTTGTACTTCCATATAGCACACAATACAGTATAAATGTTCATGGTACTCTGGAAGTGATTCGTTTTGCTGCTCATTCTGCCGCATATATACCAATAGCATATATTTCGACACTGAGTGTACTACCTCCTGGAATACGACATGAGACACCTATTGATCATATTCATCCTGATCATTTGAAGAATGGCTATGCGCAAAGTAAATGGGTAGCCGAAAAACTCATTGCCAAGGCCAGTCGTTTTGGTCTACCAATTGTTATCTATAGGCTGGGATCCATCGGTCCTAGTACTGAAACAGGTGCTTGTAATCCACATGATGTTAACACTTTATTCGTTAGCACAATTATGAAGCTACGACATTGTCCTTTGACAATGATTAACATGAAGTTAAACCAATTACCTGTCAATTTTGCTGCTCAAAATATTATTCATCTAAATCGAATTGCAACTGATACTTGTGGAAATATTTATCATATTGTGAATGAAAATGGTGGAATATCGTTTGAAGACGTTCTTCAAGGTATTCGTAATTGCGATATTCCAATTGATACTATTTCTGATAATGAATGGCGAGCCAAACTCATGTCAGAATCAAAGCAAAATGATTTACTCGATTTGATTGGAGAACTCTTCTTACATAACTCGTTCAAACCAGAAAATACAATAACTGTGCAAAAAGATTCAAATGAAGCTTCTCAATTGAATTCTTTATCTCTTGACAATGATTATATTAGGAAATGGCTAATATTTATTTTAGGTAGCATTATTTCTTCATAACATAAAATTGATAACTTTTCGATTGTCTCTTAATGAGTAGCATGATCTTTGATTGTAGTGAAAAGAAAAAAAAAAGTTTTCGAGTTCAAAATAAACTGTGGAGTAAAAATACTAATAATTAATGGGTGGTGCATCATAAATGACCCATTTTTGTATATCGTATTTTAATCACCAAATACTTTCTATTAAAAAACAGAAGACAACATAAGATGCAGCGCGAAAAGCTCTACAATCTGCAAAGTAAAGCTTATTTTGATTGTACAGTTTCTGCTTACAAGAAAAGCAAGCTTCTGTGCAGTCAATTTTTACCCATATACAAAAAGATCATTGCGTTTTGCTTATTTCATGCTTTTGCCGCCTTATACTTTCTTGTTAAAAACAAAATACAACGCAAGGTGCAGTTTGAAAAACTCTACAAATTAAAAAAAAAACAGTTTGTTTTATATATATATTTATTTCGTGTACAAAATAAAAAAAAATTCTGTCTGACCGAATTTTGACATTGCAAAAACAAATCAATTTTCCAGGATGGACGAAAGATTCCTTTTTTCATTTGATCTTATTTACAGCTACTACCTTTCCTTAAAAAGAAGCATAATATCCTAAAAGATGCAGCACAATAAGCTCTACTATCCAAGAAATGGAGCTTATTTTAATTGTATATTTTGTGTTGTCAAAAAAGCAAAATTCCGTGTGATCATTTTTCGCAGCGTCGAAATTTGCTTGGATGGGGATGTGAGTGTGGGTATGGGTGTGGATGTGTGTGGGCGTGGGTGTGGGTGTGGGGTGTGGGTGTGGGGTGTGGGTGTGGGGTGTGAGTGTGGGTGGGTGTGGGTGTGGGTGTGGGTGTGAGTGTGAGTGTTTGGGTGTGGGTGTGGGTGTGAGTGTGAGCATCGTTTAAGAGATGATAGACGCCCACCCACCCACACTTACACCCCACACCCACACACACTCACAATCCACACCCACTTCCCAGCCACACTCACATCTACACCCACACTCACACCCACACCCACACCCACACCCACACACCCACACCCACACACCCACACCCACCCACACCCACACCCACATCCACACACCCACACCCACACACCCACACCCACCCACACCCACACCCACACCCACACCCTCACTGTAAGGTTAGTATAATTTATCAGTATTATTTTTGTTTGACACATCATCTTCAATGCATAAACTTTATATTCAATTGATGCTATTAAAGAATAAAACAAAATGAATAAAAATTGACATTCGCATAAAAGAAACAACATGTTCATGTACCATGCTTATAGATGACCTTTGACTTTGATAAAGAAATAGGCCAAAAATTCTTGTTTCAGAACATAAAAGACTTCAGTTATAATGTGATCTTTTTAAATACTATCTGATTATTCTTCTTCATTTATTTTAATAGACTAAATACAATATTATGATCGACATTCACAGCATTAGTTTAGTGCCTGTGTCTTCGATACCGGCATGACAATATGAAACTACGGAATTCTTAGGCATGAAGAATTTTATTTTTAGGAGTTCAAATTTCTCGTGAAACATTTACCAAATATTTACTTAAAATATTTGTATTTATTATTACTCTCGTAGAATTCAAAAAAAAGTATGCTGACTTTTTCATTTTTTTAAGCAATAAATCAACATAGATAACATTCAATTAATTATTGCTTTATTTTTCGGAAAACTTATCATTTTCATTTTTCGTCAGCATTCTATCATTAATAACATTCTTTCGATTACATAAACTAATAGTTTAAATTGTTATGTGTCTTGCAGGAACGTAGCCAGGAATTTTTCAATGGAGGTGCACGCCAGCAAGAAAATAATTTTTGGTTTCTCGAAAACTTTGTCTCGTCGTACCCTTCCAGGTATTTTTTTGGCCAAGGGGTACACAGGCACTCTGGGCTAAGCTCCTGGTATCTTGTAGATTATTATATTCTAGACAGTATCAAATGAGAAGCCTTTTGCGACAGATAATATTGAATTGAGGTGTGAAGGCTTTTGACTAGCTCAGCGAAAAATGACGCTAAAAGCTGTTTCTGAAAGTCAACATATTTTTTTTTTTTATTAACCTGTATCATCACTAGCTGCAATACATTATCGTTCTTTGCAATCTATTAACATTTAAATCATGTGCAATAATAATTGTAGAGACAAATTTTGATTTTTATTATTTGATTTTTGAGTAATGTAAAACAGGATCGAGTTGCAAGAGATATTGCATACAATGGAAGAATCGTCAAAAAACTTTCATCATTGTAGGCAGTGAATACACATGCACGATGTTGTTGATTCTAAAAATGAAATATTATTCGTTTAATATTGTAGACGAGCAATATTACCTGATTTTGATAGCACATATATTGACCGTTGGTAGTTTTTAAAATCTCATAAATAATTTTTCGTAGTTTTGTTTTGCTTTCATGGTGTAGTTTTTTATGCTGATTCCAAATATTGTATCTATTTTGCTTTACAATTGTGTCATGATAATCAAAATCACTAAAAAAATTTTTATTATTGAGAAACCATCAAAAAGTGCTCTATAGAAGGAAAACGTAAACCCTGTTTTGACCTGAAGACCATTTATTTTTGAATATTTTTTTAATGATTTTCTACAGAATAGAAAGTTGTATAATATGCATAAAATTTCGCTTTAAACTCTCTAATTCTAAATGTTGACAGAAGATAGATTGTTATCAAATGAACATCTTAGACTTATCAAAAGAACCAATTCTGATTGAAATTAACCATATAAAACTTGAGTCGATTGGCATTATATTATATTGAAATATCTCACTTTGTTGAATTTTAAGTTCTCTATCTATTAATATAGTTGATAGAAAATTGAATGATTTATTGAAAAAAAAACCCGGGCACACCTTTCTCGTAGATTTGTTTTTTGCTGTCTTTTTTTCTTCTAAGGATAATGTAGAGTAAAAAGTGGATAGTGAATAACTTTTCAAAGAAAACGTACTGAAAGCTAAAATTTTTGGACTAATAATTTGATAAATCGATCAATTGAACAAGCAAAAAAAAAGAAAGATTATTATGTTTTCAAATTCTTCATATAACTGATGATGTAATTTCTCTTCTCTTAATAACCAATAGGATTTGTTTTGTTGTCGACAGTTTTTTTAAATTTTTGATTGGTGGGAAAAAACACGAAGCAATATAGAAGTAGGCGTCAACAAGGTGATTATAAGAAAAAAAACTCTTTCATCGAAATTGTTCTTATAGCCTCTACAAAATAATAAAAAATTTATTGATTAAACTTATGTGGTGAAAAACATACGTTTTAAATTTTCATTGATTTCACTACTTTGAGTTCTTTTTTTAAACTATAAAAATCGATGATTATTATGATGTATACAACTTACTTACATTTAGAAAAAAGATGGACAAATCCAGCGAAGAAGGGTGTGGGTGTGGGTGTGGGTGTGGGTGTGGGTGTGGGTGTGGGTG